CATGAAAAGAAGAGGTTCTAGGGAAGACAATGTTAGCCTCCCACCCCGAGTACAGATTGACGGTGACGAAATCGAGGTGGTCGATGAGTTCGTGTATTTGGGCTCTCTGGTGACCGCCGTAAATAATACCAGCAGATAAATTCAAAGACGCATTATGGCAGGGAATCGTGCCTAATTTGGACTCCGGTCGAATGAAATTTGCCACCGCACGAAGTTGACTTTCTACAAGACGCTGATTAGACCAGTGGTCCTCTACGGCCACGAGATCTGGACTATGCTCGTGGAGGACCAACGAAAACCCTTGGTGTTTTCGAACGGAAGGTGTTGCGTACCATCTACGGTGGAATGCAGATGGATGACGGAACGTGGAGGAGGCGAATGAACCATGATTGTTGGGAGAACCATCCATCGTCCACATTGCAAAAATTGGGCGACTACGGTGGGCTGGGAACGTCGTAAGAATGCCGCACGACGACCCAGTGGAAATGGTTCTAGAAAGCGACCCAACAGGAACAAGAAGAAAAGGCGTGCAGCGGGCAAGGTGTATCGACCAAGCAGACTACAAGGCTGGCGAAGTGTGGCCATGGATCGAGTAGAGTGGAGACGACTTCTTCGGACAGTAGAGGACAACAAGACCTTAACATAGGCGTAGCCAGATAGGGGCAGGGGGGGGCGACTGCCCCCCCTAAACTCGGCAACACAAAGGCTTTCGAGGAAATGGCGTTCGGTGAAATGGCATTCGGCCAAATTTTCCATGGTAATTTTTTTTTCGCCCCTCCCTAGCTCGAAACCTGGCTACGCCCTTGGGCCTTAACCTGATTGGTAAGGTAAGCAATAACTAAGCTACAAAAACGATCCATGTCGTGCTGGTCGCATTACATTCGATCATAGTTACATTGATCCTTTTGCATTGCTCGGGGTGTTTTTTGTTCAAGTGAGGAAATCACATAACAGTGTCATTTAATACTTCTGATCCACAGTAAATATTTTTTCAAGCACTTGCTAGTTTAGACATCCTCAGAAGAAGAGATGAACGGAGAGCCAAATTATCCGCCAAAATCTGAGCCAAACGATCATTCTCATTATTCCTACTAGATCTTAATCACGAATAATAACGTGGGCTTCTAAAATTCAACTAGTTTTTAGAATCAAAAATAATATTCTAACTCTATTGATTAATTGACAGACGAAAAAATCCTGACAAACCTAGCAAAGAAGAAGAACCACTCTGCCCTCGGGGAAGACGGGATGACCTACGCCATACTCAACGCTCTAAAGCCTGAAATGCAGCTCAAAGTAGCGGAGATGATCAGCAGAGTATTTGTTCTCGAGGAAATTCCAGAGTAATGGATAATCACTAACATTAAACCAATCCGAAAGCAGAACGGAAACCCTGCAGAACCATTGGGTTGGAGACCAATTACACTGATGAACGTCAACCTCAAACTGTTAAACGCAGCAGTCAAGGATAGAATAGTAGAAGTAAACGACCTAGAAGACCTCTTACCGCTCTCTCGTTAGGTTTTAGGAAACTGCTCAGCAACAACGTGCGTAAACTACGTAGTGAACCGGATGAATGAGCCGACGGCGAAAAGAAAGATTAGGATGAAAATCTTCCTCGACCTTTCGAAAGCATTTGGCTAGGTTAACCACAAAATCTGCACTGAAGAATCCTGAAAGTCCAAACCAGATAGAGGACAGTGGAAGTGGTGGTAAACGAGGGACTTCCCCATGGATGCCCACTTTCCCCAATACTCTTCAACCTGTACACCGCAGCGTTGTATGATATTCAAGAGGAGAAGGGGATTATTTCGCTCTACTTATCATAGGAGATGACCTGGATTCAGTCGAAGAAACAGGTAGGAAGATGTTAGAGAAAGTAAACAACGGACTGCAGAGTCTCAACCAGAAATTGAACATCAGCAAGTGCGCGGCGATTGTCTTCTCCAGGAAAGACATACCCGGAGTCAGGCGGAGACTGGGACAGGAAATAATCGAAATAAACAACACACACAAATACCAAGGCTTTGTACTGGACAGGACATTATCATTCAGGCAGCACATCAAGTACGTCGTCAAAGAGGATATAAGATACTGAGCATCATCAAACGCAGCAACACAGATCCCGAAACATTAGTGAAGGTAGGAAACGCAGCCATAACGAGCAGAATGGAGAATGGGGCGCAAATTGTTGGTGCGGCAGCCCCAACAAATATCTAGAAGATCCAAACGCTGCAAAATGCATATCTAAGGTCGGCGATGAGATACCTAAAATCAACTCCGATTCACGTCATACATGCGGAAACAGGTCAACTGCCCACCAAGGATCGCATTGAACTCACGTTAAGGGAGGTAATACGGAGCACCTTCCTCAACAACCAACACCATCGGTTTAATGAGGAAACCTGCAATATAGAACAAGGAAGCACTGCAGCAAAGCACATCGACGTAGTGGCCCACCCACGAGATCAACCTAGAGCTGGACTTAAGAAGAAAAATACGCACTAAGCTGTTCGAAGACCACAAAGCGAAAAAAAAAGAATACAGCCAAGCAGAATGGATCAAGTACTTTGCCGAGGTCAAGGAGCGATAAAAGGAGTTCAACCAAATCTACACTGATGGGTCGAAAGCGGCAGTATACAACTTCCGGCCGGGACCGGAACGGCAGTATACGACAGTACACATGGATCTATCCTCAAGGACAAAATAAATGAAAACTTCTCCATCACCAATGCGGAATTGCTAGCGATCAGTAAAGTCATAGAGCTGATCATAGACAGAAACTACACAAAAGCAATCATCTTCACGCACTCGAAAGAAACATGTCAAACACTGTTGAATAGAGGCGAAACCAAGGAAAACTTCCTAGTCGGGAACATCATCGGAATGTTGAACGCGCACAGTAACAAAACCGTCGTCATCCAAGGCATACCAGGGAGCGAAACAGCTGATCAGGATGCGACCGATGTCACCCACGGCAGACAAACAGAGTTTATGGTTCCAGCTCTCTCGGACGCAACCTTTTTAGCTATCAAGGAAATATGGAATCTCGGAAGAAAAGGGAGTGTTTCACAGAACATTCATGGTAACACCAGGCCTGTGTGTTCGTGAGCTAATAAGAATGATGAACGAAGACCTTGAGAGAGTTGCTGAATGGTCTGATCGTAACGAGCTTTTTGTGAAGCAGTCGAAAAGCAAGGCAATTTTCGTTAAGGGACGCCGTCGTAGCTCTGTTCGCACTGATTCGCTGCCTGTTATATCCATGAAAGGACAACCCATTGAATGGACCGACAGAGCTGTAAATCTTGGTTTCGTGTTTCAAGCTGACTTGGAGTGGGATGGACTAATTAATCAGCAATTCGGGAAAATCTACGCTTGTCTGAGCACACTCTATAGTACAGCTTCTGCCGCACCCACGAATGTTCGGCTTAAGATGTTCAAAGCTCTAATACTGCCGCATTTTCTGATTTTCTGTTTGGAGATCTTCTGCATGTAAACCCCAGCGCGAACTCCATAGTACGCAAAAGTGAGTCATCTCCAGCCAAACTTGATCGGTTGCTCGTTGCAGAATTTGTATGCATACCGATCTTGTGCCTTTTTGTGGAAACTTGCCAAAACGTGTTCCCCACCAGCGCTCTTCCAAAAGTTGATCCCGTTTCAAAGCCGTCGATCGCAAAATTTGATCCTTCCACCGAACAACACGTCAGGTTACGCAAGCACAATGTTTGTCAGAGATGTGGTAAATTGGAATATGCTGCCTTCTACGATTAAACGGTCGACTTCGGAAGCAAATTTTAAGAAGGGCTGCCTCGAGTTTTGGAATTGTCGATAAAAGTTAGACATAGGTTAGTGTATTATATAACTGACGAAATACGATATTATGTACAAAACATTTTACAACACGGAGGTAGTATTTTAAAAGGGGTTACCCCTTACACTGCCAGATGATAAATAAAGAAACAAACGGCCTCAGCCTGTCAACAAAGCAACGTAAAAAAAGGATGATTTTAGGAGAATGAAGAATATTGCAAAGATCTAGAGTGTAACGCTATATGTTATCCCACTGCATCCAATGACCTAGATTGGAAGACCTAATGATGGCAAAACCTTCGAGATTCTGAGGACAATTCCAGAAGAACTTCAGCGTAAATCCGGAGGTAAGGTATACCAGAGCAAGTTAGACTACGGGGTTAGTAGGAAAGGCCATTTGGCAATTGGAATGCTCTCAGCTACTGCGATGGTCTCAGCACAAAATATCGAAAGTTGCCTCCACCGAGAATGCAAATGTAGTTGCTTGTTTTCTTTGGTTTGAGAAAAGTGCGTTTTTAAGAGGTTTCAAACCCCCTCCCTCCACGTAGACATTTGTTTCCAAAGATTTGTATGAACGGTAGACAATCGCTTTTTGGACTGAAGACTGTTTGTTTTACAAATATGTTTGTTATTAATGTCTAAGAAATTGTATATATCAAGAAATATTTTGATATATTCGGCAAAGTTGTCGTCTCGCCTGCTACCCTTAAAACTATGCATTGAAAGAAATGATTTTTAATTAAGTTCTAATACGAGAATAATACTGATGATCTTTCAAATGTTAATCGTTACCTTGCTAAACAAATGAAAGTAATTTTCAACAAAAGAAATTCGTTATCCAAAAAGCTGCACAATAACCAGTTGAAAACTCTTGGTAAATTTTCTATTTATCTTTTTCCGATCGTGCCTTTAGAGAGGACTTATTTAAGAGGTTTTTAACTGATTACCCATTACTTTTTTGACCTGATATTATTACAGTTAGGACTATTTAGTTACTGATTTTGTTTTCCAGACTACACAGAAAAAAAAATTGCATCAATTTGGCAGCCCTGCCTGCGTTCCTCGAACCGTGACCACCAGGTAAAGGAAAAAAAGAAACACAAAATCCAACAGACGTTATGCACCTTTCCCGTCCACATTTCGCGAGACAGGGGTCCGTAACATCGTGCAGGAAGTGGTCGACCACTCACCTGAATTGTAGTAATCCTCAAACTCATCATTATCCGAAGAGTATTCCATATCCGATTCCTGGTCTGCCATCTTGCGCGATCTGAATTCGCCTGAAACTGCTTCTATTTTGACGTTTTCAGGTGCAGCTTTTTACAGCACCCAACAGAATCACTTGCCTGCCTCGCTAAACGCAGGGAACAGTCCCCAAGACTCACTGCAAAATTTCACGGAAACTCACTGAGCACTATGGAGGTATTTCCAATCATCAAATAACTTTCTGGAGGACACTACAAGACCCTTCCGTTGACCTTCTTTCTTTTTGCTGAAGTTCACACGGTAGTGCTTTTACTGCTAAGCTGGAAATTATTTTTGTTTCAACCTTGAATTTTGCACTTTTCCCGTCTGCTTCTCGGCACGTTCGGACTGAGTGGGAAGGCTGCGACTGCGGCTACTACTGCTATTGGTGGGGCCACAACGGAAGATTGATATTGATGGGGAAAAAAGCTGAGCCAAAACTGCTAATCCACCGAAATCAGGAAGCACCCGGAAGCATCTTCACCAGCACGCACCAATCACTTTTCCGACCCACGGGAACTGAATTTTTTTCTCACTTCCTCGCCAATAATAATAATCAAGGGAAACCGTTTCCGATGGTAGAAAATATTAAACAAACAAACCCCCGTCAGAGATAATCGTCATGAGTTTGTTACGCGAGAAAAGGAGCACCACTACGTATTTTAGTGTAAAGTTTGTAGTAAACTTGAGCACGACAGAAAAAAACACAAACGTCAAGGCAGGGAGCTGCACACAAACTGAAAAAAAGTTATTAATGTCAATTTCATTTTAGCGGCCCAGTACACCAAAAGTGTAAGCGCCAACAAGCGCGTGTCATTGTCAGCTCAACATCATTTGTTTGTAAACCAAGGTGCAGCTGGTATCTGCACCTTAAATTATGTCGGTGTACGGCATAATGACATAATATTAGTTTACAGTAGTGATGTGGTATATTTCACCAATCCTGTTACGGAATAATGTGTAAATAATTCACAACTACTACGAAGGAAGTCGACAAAACGATTACGAAAAAAATGTCAAAAATAAAGTCGACAAAAGCATGCCCTACGGTGGCAAAGAACAACGATTGAATTGCATTTTGGCAAAGAACAACAGATTTATTGAAATCACGCTCGTTCCATTTTTACTCAAAAATGAGTAAAAATCTACTTATGTTCGCTAAAAATGGAACGGCTCCTAATGTAATGTGAGCAACAGAATATTTACAAAGTTAACCTTGTAAATAGTTATTGTTCAGAATTGGCCTGGTCTGGGCTCGGTCCTGGCAATGGCAATGGCACCGATTAATATAGCAGCCTTTTCTTCATCGTTATCAGCGGTAAAATACTTCGATCCTATGAGGGGTATAGTTCGGTAGCGAAGGTGAAAGCTAACAAATCTGTCGTCTCCGTCATCATCGAAAAAGGAAAACATGGATCAGCTGGATAACACGCCAGATCTCCGAAATATCATTACTTCAACTTCGACCAGGTTTGAAGGTATAGATATAGATAAATATAGACAATATAGATAATAAATTCCTCTTGAGGGAGCCTGTTTGGTAATAGAGCCACCGACAAACCGACATGAAACTCAAACTTAACTCTAGATCGAGAATCCATAACTGCCGATTCAAAAGTGCAGCGATCCCATCTGTTAAAACCATAGAAATGTTTTATCTAGATAAAAATAATTTCTCGATGAACATTTCAAATAGTCCTATCTGCTTTGATCGATTCTCTTCATCGACTTTCTCTTTTCATAACCACTGCTATGCAAACAGATTTCGCGCTAATTCTACCACATAGTTTGATAAAGGAGGTTCTTATCTAGCGTACAAAACGTCAAATACAACAGGGAAAGGTTTTACAGCTTAGTTATTAACGAAAGAGAAAGTCGATGAAGAGAATCGATCAAAGCAGATAGGACCATTTGAAATGTTCATCGAGATTTGTCTAATTTGTTAGACACGAACCAACTCATAAATTTTGTACGCGTGTTCGTGGCTAGGATAAATATTTTCCGCGAATACGGCGGCAGATGTCAGTTTTGTGCTTTGGGCAGAAATTTCTTTATAATTTGAATGATCATTACTGTCGGTTTGTCAGTGATAGAGCAGCAAACACATTCGTGATTCAATGATCCAATGCCCAAATAATTGGTTTTCGTTAGATCTACAATTAGTTCAATAAAGACTTTTTTGTACCTATACCTAGACCTATTCTTAATAAAATGGAACGCTCGGTTGCATTACGGTAGCCAGAGACTAAGTGGGGTTTATATACACCTGGTTTGCGTCCACTGGCCACTGAGTGATCTTTGGAAGGATTTCAGACCCTCACCCTCGACCGGTTTTAGAAAAGAACGAGCAGCTTCCATAGCTTCTGATTATTCATCAACTCAATCCATTCAAACCCTTAATTTCGAATCTTACGAGTCCCAAACTATCACACCGCAAATGACAAGTCAACTAACGAAAAGACAGGTGCCCATGCTTGGCATACACAGTTATTCACACCAACTGCTCATTTGTTAATAACCTTTCACTCAGTTGTTGAAATTTGTTTTTCTTTAAAGTAATTGATAGATTAGGATCATAGCTTACTATAGATATGCAAAGAGTAAGTAAATCATAGCATTTGAATTATCCGTCGGTGATTGGCACTAGATTGCGGAACAGAGACCGACGTTAAAATAAAGGAAAAAAAAATAACATTTAAATCAACACCAATGAATTTGTACACTTACAGTCCGAGATGTGTGTAGTGACCAAGTCCTTTGTACGTGCTACCCAGAGTTGATAATAGAAGAGTTACGGAGACTGAAACCAAAATCTACCTATCGAACTGTCAAACATAACTGTCGAGCATAGTCGACAAACTTACTGTAAGACCAGAAGGTCCCGAAGAAACGGGCTCAACTTTTTGGCTCAGCTCTGGTACTATCTTCGGTCCCAAGCTAATCGATGAACCCCTCGAAACATAGGAAAATCCACGAACCCCTCATTTTATCCATCAAACTTTCATAGCGAATCAAAATAAACATAGTGTAGTACCGTAGTACCAACAATCAATACAAAACTAACGATTTTAAATTGGCTCACCACTTTAGTAGCCTATTGGTGCCAAGCAAACGATTAACGTACCCTATTCTAGTTGAAATTCTATTACTACACTATGTTTGTTTTGATTCGCTATGAAAGTTTGACAGATAACATCAGGGGTGTGTGGATTCATGCAGAACATGCAAGGGTGAGTGAAATAGCTTGAGACTGCTTGGGACCGTTGTTCTGGTACTGAGTGAGCCAAAAATAATAATGATTTTCTTCGGGACCCAGTGGTCTTAGAGTTACCTCTATGGTAGTACCATAGAGGTAACTCTAAGACAAGTAGGTCCCGAAGAAACGTGCTCAACTTTTTGGCTCACCTCTGGTACTATCTTCGGTCCCAAGCTTGTCGAATCACCCCTCGAAACATAGGAAAAACCAATAACCCCTCATTTTATCTGTCAAACTTTCATAGCGAATCAAAACAAACATTGCGTAGTACTAGAATTTCGACTAGAATAGGGTCCGTTAATCGTTTGCTTGGGACCAATAGGCTACTAAAGTGGTGAGCCAATTTAAAATCGTTAGTTTCGTATTGATTGTTGGTAGTACCATAGAGGTAACTCTAAGACCACTGGGTCCCGAAGAAAATCATTATTATTTTTGGCTCACTCAGTACCAGAACAACGGTCCCAAGCAGTCCCAAGCTATTTCACTCACCCCTGCATGTTCTGCATGAATCCACACACCCCTGGTGTTATCTGTCAAACTTTCATAGCGAATCAAAACAAACATAGTGTAGTAATAGAATTTCAACTAGAATAGGGTACGTTAATCGTTTGCTTGGGACCAATAGGCTACTAAAGTGGTGAGCCAATTTAAAATCGTTAGTTTCGTATTGATTGTTGGTAGTACTACCATTTCGACTAGAATGGGGTACGCTTAAAGATGTACTTGGGACCAATTGGCTAGTCAAGTAGTGAGCCAATTTAAGATCGTTAGTTTCCACCGGTTGCTAGTAGCGCACACCACAAGCAGACGATCCTTGGTTTAGTGTGATATACGGGGCTCAGTGGCCTAATGGCAACCGTTTTTGCTTACTGAGCAGAAGATTATAGGTTCAATCCCAGGTTTTGAATATCAGCGCATCATGCTTAATATCATGCATCACTTTCCAAAATGAATCCAGATTTAAAACCGTCCTTTTATTTAACAAAAACGTCCTTCCTGTGATAGCTGTTGAGATGCTGATCTTCAGTAGCAAACAAGAAATACTCAGAGGGAGAGATGGGCGGAAAACACAAAATAAAATATTGCAGCAGGGTTTTGTATGTTAATTATCTTGCAACCCTTGCTAGAAGCTAGCATTTCACATGACTTTCTTTTCGAGTCGAAGTACGTGCAAAATAATAATTGAATGCATCGCAATATTTTGCACATTTCTTGGTGCCATTAATTAACCAACAAAGATCAATTAATCAATGGAGTTAGAATATTATTTTTGATTCTAAAAACTAGTTGCGACTTGAGAAGCACACGTAAAATAAAGATAATTGAAATTCTATTTGATTACAATACTCAAGGAAAACAAAATACTCTCATATATCTCGATGAACATTTCAAATCGTCCTATCTGCTTTGATCGATTCTCTTCATCGACTTTCTCTTTTCATAACCACTGCTATGCAAACAGATTTCGCGCTAATTCTACCACATAGTTTGATAAAAGAGGTTCTTATGTAGCGTCCAAAATGTCAAATACAACAGGGAAAGGTTTTGCAGCTGAGTTATTGTCGAAAGAGAAAGTCGATGAAGAGAATCGATCAATGCAGATAGGACCCTTTGAAATGTGTATCATATTATGATCTCGAATATTCTCTTGTAAGAATAAGAAATCTCGATGAACATTTCAAATGGTCCTATCTGCTTTGATCGATTCTCTTCATCGACTTTCTCTTTTCATAACCACTGCTATGCAAACAGATTTCGCGCTAATTCTACCACATAGTTTGATAAAGGAGGTTCTTATCTAGCGTCCAAAACGTCAAATACAACAGGAAAAGGTTTTGCAGCTGAGTTATTGACGAAAGAGAAAGTCGATGAAGAGAATCGATCAAAGCAGATAGGACCATTTGAAATGTTCATCGAGAAATCCTCGAAACAAATCGAATGGGAATGTTCGATTGGTTCAAAACATTCTCTCCGCTCATCTCTTCTTCTGAGGATTTCTAGTATCAACGGATGTTAAACCTGTTGTAGCTTTACCCAATGACACAGAACAGAAATGGATCTCCCGGACCATTATACTTATGCGCCACATGTACAATGTATCCGGATTTGATCCGTTGCGGCAAATCTGACAGTTCAACAATAGATTTAGCTATCACTTTGCCATAACGGATCAGATCCGGGTGCTTTTAAACAAAGGTATCGGAGCAATGTTAATATTATTAATTTGTTCACGTTGTGGTTAGTTTTGCTATTTTCTACTTGATAGAACGAAAATAGGAACTAGGCTAGGCTGAAGTAGCGCTCTACCCTATGCATGATTTCAAATTTATGCCTTGATGAAGAGTATGCCATGTGATCACTTTGCATTTGGACACACATCACGTGTTCAGTGTTTAACAAAAGTGAGGTTATATAGATACATAACGTTGTCTGCTTTGATTGTCAACTGTTTTGATTTTCATCTAGGACATTTCAATAGTGAAATATTCATAACTACTATTCAATGAACACGGACATTTTCAACAAGAAGAAAATCACATTGCGTGGTTTATACGAGCTTGTAAAGCGGCAGCGTACTCAGGACGATGAATTACAACAAGTTGTAGCTACGTTGATTAGCTGCTTCTCATCCGATCCAGAAGTGATCGCATTGAGTTGCGAAATTCTCGTAATTCTAATGGAAGTCAATTCTTTCACTGCTCTATCGATTAATGTGTTTCGGAAATTTTTCCGATATCTACCTTTTTTCTTTCAAAACCGAGCTGTTACCCGAGAGAAAACCAGAGTTGTCCAACTCCTCACGCGATTCCTAAAGCTGTAAGTAAACGAATTCAATCAACATTACATAATTATTATAAATTCGTCTAAAATTCCAACAGGTTTGATCAAAAATGTCACCTCATTGGTCAGTTGATAACCGATTTTCCCTTCTCGATGTTGTTCCATTTGTCAATGCTCATTTCTGATCAACACAATCAAGTAGACGAGCAAGAGGTCTTAGAACTTATCCTCCAAACACTCCAAATGGTACCACATCTACCCAAGCCACATAGGGAAGCTGATCAGAAAATTGTGAGGAAGCTAATTACAAGTTGCTACACTGCGGTCCGTAATCGCGATGGCAACAACCTTACTTTAGTATCTCAGTTATTAAAACTTGCCGATCGTTTGATGGAAGTCTTTCTCATACCGAATCCTAACGAAAGACACTATTGGATTGAACACAGAATCGCCCATATTTACGGTGTGATTCTTGATCGATTGTTCAGTGAAATTCCAAGCAATTCAGCAGCCATGGATCTTTTGCTAACGACAGTTTATGCTCTGTTCCAACGGGGTTTGAAGTTGAATATGAAACTTGAAATTACTCAACAATTGTTGGACCACAGTGAAGGTTTGCGGAAAACTTTGAAGTTATTATACGATTTAACAAAATCCGATTCGCTACAGTTTACTCGATTCAAAGCTGTAGTTACGGAAATTTTAACTCACTATGCTTGGCAATTCGAATTTGGCTCCACGAACGAAGCGTTTGAGAAGGTCAAACAGAAGATTCGTAACCTAATTCTGGAGGTAACCTGGTCCGACGTAATTAGAAGCGATTTTCGTATCTTCCATCTACGGGCGGAAGGCATATCGGCATCGAATTTGTGGTTGATCATCCTCGTGAGTCATTTTGAAACGGAACAAGTGAAACATGAGTGGTCCGATTACTCTGTGCGGGTAATGGATCACGTGTTAAATTTGACTACGTTTTTGAGCGTATGCTGCCTGAAGCAGTATAGTGTTCCCAAATATTTGGTAAAGTACGTTTTGGAAGGCATAGCGGTGAGTCGTCAAGTTTTACTAGATGATTGCATTTGAAATTATAACCTCATTTTCAGAACTTTCATGATCTCGACTTGATGAAGCGGAACGAAGCCACGTACAAGGATCAACTGCGTCAATTAGTCCCCATTAACTGTATCCAGAATATTTTCGGACTAATACCCGTTCGCATTCCTCGCCTCAAATGGTTCAAACAATGGAATCTTCAATGGGAGGCCAAATTTATTCAACGACAACGGATTGAAGCTCTTCAAGAACGTTTACTTCCTCTGAACGTCATCAACGCAACTCTTCTGAACTACTTTCCTATGGAACTGCTCTTTTCGGTCTTATGTACGAATAGATCAACCCACACGGCTCAAAGCAATGCTTCCATCATTATGTCACGAGTGCAGCTATCCCAGGCGGTAATCGAAAAAATCATCGATGAAAAGCTTACCATACGGCGTGGATGTGGCAGTAAATGGATCCAATACCTTCGGGCACTGTTTGGATCTTTGGGCGAGCTTAGTGGCGAACAGCAGGACAAGGTTATGGTGTTCCTGTTCACAAAATTGAACTCAAAAGTCGTTGAATCTGCTGGCTACGTACTGGTAATTGACAGTTTGACTCGGATTCTAATTGCAAGGCAACAGCATCGAAATGCTCTTGCTGGTGCTCTCTCAGGTTCGGAGAAGGATTATTTTCGGTGTGACGATCTTTAGGTGTTTAAACTGTTATCCCAATTGATGATCGCCGTCGCAGATGTTGCAGACAAGGCGTTTCGTCGCAACCGCGCAGAAGTTTCTTTCCAAATAAAAAACCACACACGTTCTTCAGTTCGATTTAATAGTTGAGTTTATTTCAAGTTTCAATGCAGTAGATGTCTGTTGTAGGTTGCGGAACGTAGATTGAAGATTGAAACATTCTGAAGTCCTAATTCTGAAGCACTGCTGCTGTAGTAGCGCTCTGCGTGTATTCAGGTAAGATTTCCATTATCATGCGAAATGTCTATTGATGTTTGTTTTTTTCTTCTGTAACAATATAATGCTCTATGCTCTATTTCCATCTGTTTTCAGTAGGTAGCTTGTCATACACAGTTGTTTTTTTCATTTGTTTCCATTACTATGTAATTTATAGATATGAGTGAAGCTTTTTAATACGCAAGATTTCTTTCGAAGAAAAGAAAATTAAATGACTCTCCTAAATTTTGTTTGTTTTCTCTTTTTTATAATGATTAATGGCAATGTTAGCGACGATTTTTGAAAGAAATGGACAGGCAATTCCTTCGTTCGCTCTTTGATTAGTTAATGAATTTAGTGTTCACTATTTTACAAAATTAATAAAACAAAAATAAATCTTATTCCTTTTGAGCATTGTTGTCTGCAATCCTAGCATCCCTTTTCATCTCGATCATTCGCTCGCGCACGTTCAATTGAATAAAAAACAGACCGGTTTGTCACATAACTAACCTAAATTGTTCTACTATCGCATGTTAAAGTATACTGTAATAATCAAATTTCTATAGTAACGCCTAAACGAACCCAAGGAGTTCGTTCGTTCGTTGGATCGCTCAGTAAAAGAAAGCTGAAACATTCAGAACAGAATCAAGCAGCAGCTAACAGCTGATTCGATTTGCACATATACCAGAACGAATACATAAGTAATAATTTATCATGACCTTATACGTTAATTGATTTCGTTAGGTTTCCTTCTCTGAATGCATTGTGGTTTGCCATACTATTATGAATAGTAGCTCAGTGTTCTTGATTTTTTGTTTTATTTCTTACCTTAGGGAATTTATTTAGATATTTACAGGAGTTTTATGTGGCCCTCTATCCGGCAACCAATACCTTTTCTACAGTGTTTTGTATTTGTGGCTAACGAGAATGGTTGGCTTTTGCAAAACACGACACGATTAGATTATCGCGACTTGCGTATCATTTCGAATCGAGAGTGCGTTGTGATCAACACTGAAATAGTAGAACGCATTGCAATTGAAACATTCAAACGGATGCCAAAGACGACTCACCTACGCATACAGCGTACTTTCAATGTAGCTTGTCGGTACGAATCCTTCCTCCCAACCATTGGGACCGCATAACCGTCGCACCCGGGTCCATCCGTCACCCTGGTCCAGTTCTATCACTAGCAACTCCTCACCCTCCGACATTGGAATGCTTCCTTCGCTCGTCGCTGAAAGAAAGAATGAAAGAAAATCGCATCATGCAGTTTCAATTAAATCAGCGAGAGATACGGGAGGGAACCTACCATCAAATGGGTACAGTGCTTTGCAGGTTCCGAGCGGTGGCAAAGCTTCCGCTTCGAAATACATTTCGTCGTTGATGGGTTGATCGTTGGTGCTTCCTTGACCGGAACCGGGAAGTGACGTGTGGGACGTTCCAAGGCCACTTTCCGGACTTGCGGAACTACTGCAATAGGTGGAGTGGAAGAACGAATAGGTTAGTCAAATAAAGGGTTCCAATTGCTACGGAATCATGGCTCGCATTCATTTGGCACGCATGCATGTTACAGAATGAATGAAACAAAAAAATCAAGGCGAAAGTTTTCTGAAGTAAAAGAGATGGGTGATGACTACTTGAATGGGAAATTAATATCGGAAAATTAACACGCTAGTTTGATTGATTCGAGTAATGAAGGTTGTTAGAATTCATATAGTTTTCAGGCCTTTGGATCCCTTGATAACTCAATATAATTCAGGTTTTTTTCAGGTAGGTGTAGAATCTCTTCAAGTCAGAGATTTTAGTTTTTTTACTAAAATTGAAATTTTTCCAAGCATTGATCTGAGATCAGACATTTTATGAAGTCAATCAATTCGATAGAATCTAGAATTTATTTATTAAACTGAAAACATCTCATTTTTTGGAATTTTCTCAAAATTTTTCATCTTGTTTTTCTTTTTTCGTCCGATTTTTTTATTTGTCTGGATCAAGATATGTCTTAGAATCGTCTCAGCATTTCTTCAAAATTCATCATGGGACTCTCTATGGTATTCGCTTAAATTGTCTGCAAAACTCTCTAGAAATTATCTCCGGAAATCTATGGGAATTCACTCTAATTCAAAATAATTCTTTCAGAGTCACAGTTGGCAACATGAGATCCCAGCTTTTCGGAGAAGAGACGGGCGTCCCACAAGGTTCAGTTATCGCCGTTACCCTCTTCTTTGTGGCCATGAACGGAGTTTTCGGAGGACTGCCGAAAAATGTTTACATTTTAGTGTATGCTGACGATGTACTTATCGTTAGTACCGGCCCAACAGCAGCACGTAACAGGATCAAGGCCCAGGCAGCAGTCTCCGCTGTAGCCGGGTGGGCCAGCGCGGTAGGTTTCCAGCTTTCGGCCATCAAAAGCGACAGGTGCCACGTGCCAGTCCAGAAGAAGCCGGTCCGTATTCTGCGGGTACTCGTTGACCGGTCCCTCAACTTCGAGCAGCACTTTAAGGCGATCAAGAACGACTGCGGCAGTAGGATCAACTTGATCGGTACCATCTCACGTCCCCACCGGTCTAACAATCGCGACACTCGTTTCCGGGTTACAAGTGCCGTCATCGATAGTCACCTACTGTACGGTGAGATGACGTGCATCGCCACAAAAAAGCTCTTGTTGTCGGTCGGATTGTCTCCGGTCTTCTTCCGTCAGCGCCCATCGATGCCGCATGCATCGTAGCGGGTATTCTGCCCTTCCACCAAAAATCGTGAGTCGGATAAAGAGTAGGTTCAAGGCTGGAGATAACTCTGCAGCGCTGAGGAGAACAGTAGCCGAACTGCTAGGTTCGGACTACCCAACTCATGCCCACATATACACGAACGGATCGCTTTCTCGAGCCGGGGTCGGAATTGGAGTAGCCGGAATTTCAGCACCGATGAGTAGCAGCCTACCGCCACAATGCTCGGTTTTCTCCGCCGAAGCTGCGGCCATCTTTGTTGCCGTTACAACACCCTCGGACCGGCCCATACTGGTGCTATCCGATTCGTACAGCGTGATACAAGCCCTTACATCTGAGACCCTGACTCACCCCTGGATACAGGGTATTGTGGAGACCACGATCCCACTGCGGTATCCCTGGAAATAGCGAAGTTGACAGCCTGGCAGGGTCTGGACCAGCTGGCCCCCGTTACACCGACGAAGTGCCACTACCGGACATATAGCGATGGATAGTCAACAAAATGTGGGAAGCCTGGGAAGCAGAGTGGTGCCAATCCCAACCCCTCTGCATCCCAAGAATCAAAGAAACGACGAGCAAGTGGACGGATATGTCGAAACTACGGGACCAGAAGGTAGTTTCTCATCTTAGGACAGGTCATACAAGGATCTCACATAGTTTTGGTGGGACGTAGTGTTACGTTTGCGGAACCACTGCATCGGTGGAACACATCCTATGCCCATAGAAGGTCCCGAAGAAACGAGCTCAACTTTTTGGCTCAGCTCTGGTACTCTCTTCGGTCCCAAGCTAATCGATGCACCCCTCGAAACATATGAAAATCCACTAACCCCTCATTTTATCTGTCAAACTTTCATAGCGAATCGATACAAACATAGTGTAGTACTAGAATTTTGACCAGAATGGGGTACGTTAATCGATTTGCTTGGGACCAATAGGCTAGTCAAGTAGTGAGCCAATTGAAAATAGTTAGTTTCAAATTGATTGTTGCTATGCCTGTGTCCGCAATACCAACATCTACGGGAGCAGTACGCACTTCCCAACAGCATTATTGACATACTGGGCGACGAACCTTCCACTTTCGCGACAGTTATTTATTTCCTCAAGGACGCTGGGCTATAGAACAACATATAGGTCCTTTTAGCTTTCTTTTAGCTGACGGGACATCTCTGCCAGACGGGGGATTACCCCTCCTACGGTGGAGCTCCGACCTCTTTCAGAACCCTACATAACTTTGATGTACCAGATTGCTTTTTTTTCGTTGCCTGTATTGTTAGTCTTTTACTGGAATCTGTTATAATTGCTTCTATTTGACTACAGCCGAAAATCCGTAACAAAATTTGCAGGCAGAAGCTCCGTCTGAGACCCTCTGTTTTATAGAGATGAAGTAGCCAACGGCTAAAAATCTCTCTAATAAAGACAACAACAAAAAATCCTGTAGCATACTTTTCTTCTAGAAATTGTTCAGAAAATGCTTTGTAATGAACTTCAGAATTTATTTGGAACTCTTTTATGAATTCCCTTGATAATTCCTTTGGAATTCTATGAATTCTAGAATTCCTTTGGAACTATCTTCAGAATACTTGGAATCTTTGTCGGAATTTCCGTGAAACTCCCTCAACATCGTTTTGGAACATTATTTAAAAAGCTTTAAAAATTATCCATGGGGCGGCTCGGTTCTATTCCATTTTCCGGCATTTTTTGGGTTGAAAAATAGATAGAGTATGATTGTATTTGTCACACTATATAAAGGGCGAACACGAAATTATTGCGACACATTCAACAGGGCATAACTTTTTTACCATTGGGTAAAAATCAACCACATTTTGCACACTTTCTCATTGATGTGTATTGTGTACATGCTGTCAAACTCGAAGTCGTGTTTTTCGATTCAACGAAAATGGAGGTGAACCAACGCGAGTTGAGAGAACAAATTCTTTCCAAACACCTGGAATTTCCTGACCTGTCGCACCGGCAGTTGGGAAAAATGTTGAACATTCACCATTCAACCGTCTCCAGAGTGTTGAAGCGGTTCCAGGAGCGGTTGACGTTGGACCACGGCAAAGGAGCTGGAAGAAAACCGGGACCGGAGAACAAAAAGACGGAGGGAAAGGTGAAGCGGATGATTAAAGCAAATCCCAACGTCTCAAGCCGTGATTTGGCTAAAAAGATCGGCATGTCGCAGAGCTACGTCCAGAATGCAAAGAAGAGAGCTGGACTACATACATACAAGGTACAGAACTTCCCAAACTGCGATGAGCGGCAACAATCGACGGCTAAAACTCGGGCACGGAAGCTCTACGAGAAGATGCTGACAAAATATGGCTGCTGTGTGATGGACGACGAAACGTATATAAAAGCCGATTTTAAGCAAATTCCGGGGTTGGAGTTTTTCACCGACAAGAGCAAGTTCGATGTGGACGACAAATTTAAGAAGAAGAAAATGTCGAAGTTCGTCTCCAAATATCTCATTTGGCAGGCCATCTGCTCTTGCGGACTGAGGAGTGAGCCTTTCGTGACAAAGGGCACAGTAAATGGCGAGATCTACAAATCTGAGTGCCTCGAGAAGCGCCTTTTGCCGTTCTTGCAGCAGCACGACGAAGCTCCGCTATTTTGGCCAGATTTGGCATCATGCCACTATTCTAAAAGTGTCCTGGAGTGGTATGAGGCCAATTCTGTCCATTTTGTTCCAAAGAACATGAATCCGCCAAACTGTCCGGAGCTGCGCCCGGTGGAGAGTACTGGGCAATAATGAAGCGGGAACTTCTGAAGAGCAAAGAGCAAGAAGACAGTCAAAGACGAGAAGGACATGTTAAGAAAATGGAAAAAAAAAACTGAGAAACTGGTACCGGATGACACTGTAAAGACTTTGATGGAGGGCATCAAGCGAAAATGCGTTCAATTTTACACTCAAGGCTCCATCGATTAACTTTTCTTTTGATTTTTGAAGTAAATATATGTATAAAACTACCCTAAAATTTTGGTTTGATTCTAAACATTATAAGAAAATTGGCATGACATTTTCGGTGTTGCAATAATTTCGTGTTTGCCCTTTATACTAATGCAAAAATGGTACAGACTAATAGCGAATTTGTTTATTATCCAGGTTGGAACCAGTTCCAACCTATGCGAACCCGTGCTTATTGTCAGGGCGAATCTCAACCCGAGTCAGATTATAAACAATTGTACAGTGACGTTTGACAGACAACAAGCCGACCCAATCTTGATACCCGATCCTGGTTGGAACTGAATCAAACGCAAATTCGCTATTAGAAAGCTTAGAGTTCTCTTCCAATCGACCTTTGCATCCTAATAAGAACTCTCTTGCAACATTTCCCAGAGCTACCTTGGGATTGGGATTTGTCGTTGAAGAACTTGAGACCTGAGCAGGGGGGGGGGGGGGGTCCGGACAGTGGCAGTGAACAAAGAACGGCCATCAAGAATACCTTCATCGAAACAAGTGAGAACAACCTGGGTGAGCTGCGCACCCAGCGATATCCGCTTCTTCCTATACGATATCTCCCGACACCTGACTGGAGCAAGGATGAATCCAAGGATGCTAAGCTAAGCTAAGCTAAGGATGCGGCTCATGACTCGTGTTAACACCGAGACCCCATCAATGTAGGAGATTGAAGCAACTATCCGAAGTATGCACTCCAAAAAGGCAGAGATGATCACAACTGACTATTCAACTATTTGGTAATATCTGGAACACCACGACTGGTTGCAGGGAAACTTAGTGAAGGATCC